GGAAAGAAGCACAGAACTCTCTAACATTGTTTCTTTTTATCTGATTTCACTTGTGCTTCTGTGTCCCCTTCCTTAAGATAATAAGGGAAAGGAAAAAGTCTGTAGAGACCAGAATTGTTTATTTCTATCAGCTCGATCTGGTTCTAGGAGATAGGACGAACACAAGCTTTCAAGTGGAAATAATCATTAATGTGTGAAACTTCTTTGGTTTTGTACACTGCCATTATAACATCTCATTCTGAGCAGAATCTTGTTTCTATTTTTCAAGATGTTACTTAGCGTGCAGAGATAATTCTTTAATTCATTGGATGCCGTTGTTTCTTCTGAGATTAATGCTATTAATTATTTGGTGGTTTTCATTCTTTTGGGTCTTCAGTGTTTTGCATTGGATGCGGGTCTTTTGTTGCTTTGTGTGTCCTGCTGCCTCTTACCAACTTGCTTAAGTCCCCTTAAGGTCTCATTTCCTAGATTCTGAGAAGACAAAGTGTGTAGGCAAAAACTTGAGTGAGTTCTTAAAAGAAGCACCTAAAAATAATTCAACATTATAAAGAAAAACTCATCGCCTTATGTTCTGACAAAACCAGATTATCCCTCACAGTAGCCAGTTATGTGCCTTATCAAGATGTCATCTTTAAATACTTAGACAAAATCTTTGTGCCACATGAAATCTTCATACTACTGCTTTAAAGTTTGGTAAACCGCAAAATGGAGCAAACAAGACCCCTAAAGCCAGCTTCTTGCCTCCTAGAAAATGCATCACACCAGGAAAAAATAAGTTATGGTTCTGGGTAGAGATTTATTTTTAAAATTGGTATTTCTACTTGAGTAAAGATGCTGTCTCTTTAACAAGGAGCAGCAGGCCTTTCTCATCTTTACTGGACCAGCTAGTTGCTCTCTTTTGCCTTCTGCGTTCGGAGGCACGCTGCACTGCGGCTGCTTCCCTGGAGACAGATGAGTAGTTGAAACCACCAAGATGGTTTCTTGTTAGCCAGGTCAAAAATTGAAGTAAAGTGGTGTTAGTCCTGGGTTGGATATCTCCATTCATTTTTTTGACAGCAAATCACTTGTTAGCTACCCGGAATTTGACTCTGAGAACATCTGCAACCTGTCTGGTAACACAATGAGATTTTTATGATACTGCTGTCATACTATTGCCTTAGTGAGGCTTTTGAGTGTCTGCTGTCCTTCATCTGTAAGCTATGTTGCTCTATCAGAAAGACAGTCAAAACTTTTTGTTGGCTGTTCTGGTATTCTATTTGAAGAAATTATTAAAAGCTAACGAAATAGGAAAACTTTATTCTGTCAAAAGGCTCCTGTCTTCTAAAAATGGACAAGTTTGTCTCCTCTGAGAAGGTATGGAGAATGGATATTTCTAGTTGTTGACAACTGACTACAGCTGTTCAGAACAAGTTCTTTAAATACACTATAGCAAATGTATCAAACTCATTTGCTTTTGAAAACATGGTTATCTCGGTGTTACGTAGCACATTTTTTCCTATTTTAGCTTGAGACCTTGCACAGTAAATACCAACGACAATGGAGTGCTTATTTTTTGGGGTGAGGTTTTTTGGTGTGTTTTTTTTTTTCTTTTTCCTTCCATTAAAAATCACATAATTCAGGTAGGAAAGAATGGAGAGAATTAGGGATTTCCTTCTAAGGTGGTCTTCAAACATACCAGTCTGTCCCTGAGGATAAGATTTGATCATTTATGCTGATACGATGTGAGACCATTTTTACTCCAGTTTCTTTTAAAGAATGAGCCCAACACTTACGTTCATTGCAGTGTTTCCATAGCAAGGGCAAGTTACAGAGAAGTGGTCTGAATTTTACATATATAATAAACTTTTCTGTATTTCTGTGCTTCTTACCAGAAGTCAGTTTGTCAGAAGATGAGCTTTTATCCTTATTTCCAAGTAAGATGACAAGGAAGTATATGTTTGAGACAGGCTTTTGTCCTTTGCTAGATGCTTTTCCTTGTTTATATGCCCCTCTTGAGAAGTGCTGTCTTGTTTGGTCTGGTAGTATGAGTTACAAGAACTGCTCTTGTCAGTGTTTTTCTCAGTTTCTGATAGGGATAAAAAGCTCCTTAGTATTCCTGTTACCCAAAAAGATGGAATCTGTGAGACTACTTGCTACCAAATGCAGACAGGGGTAGTTCAGGCTACTGAACCTCATATTAACGGTAGCAGTACTACAGTGCTGTCCAAATCTTTTGTCCTATCTTCTCAGACTTCCTGTAAGTGAGCATATAATGGCCCCTTCCTCGTTGCATGTGTATCATGTAGAGCTTTAGAAGTACTCTGTTCTTCTATGTATTATGAAAAATTTACTTTTATATGGAATTATTGGCGATGATCCCAACTCTGTTGATGCCTCAGCAGCACTTACTAGCTGTAATGAAGTGGAAAAGCGAGGTTTTCTTTCTTCAACTCCCTATTTAGGTAGTGTAACTTGTCTCGGTGTAGACAGCATGTTCCAGGGTAGGACAGTTATTTTCTACTGTGTACCAGAAGGATGTCTTGTGCTTTGCCTGAGAAACTGTATTCTTGGTAAGCTTTTTTCCCCACAAGTTTGACTTTTCCTTGCCATAATCTAAACTCTACCTTAACTTTTTATAGACGCCATGGGAAGGAGGCTTATTTAAACTACGGATGCTTTTCAAGGATGACTACCCTTCTTCACCCCCAAAATGTAAGTAAAATGACTAAAAAACATAGGTCTATTAGAACAATGTCTGTAAACTAGTCCATGAGGCTCTATGAATGCTTATTACTTTCTTACAGATCTTTTTTTAAAGAAGTTGCTTTTTTCTTCCCCTCCCCACTAAACTTTGCATTTAGAAAGTTGTGATGAACTGAGTTGACTGCTCAATATAACAAAATTGGGAGGGGAGGGGTATTGCTGTGTGGGTATCCTGGAAGTTTGACAAAAGCACCACTTAAGGTGTTCACTACTTGATCAGTACTCTTTGGAAACTAATAGGTAGGGAAATCACTTTGTCTTCTTACTGTTAAGTTGGTCTTCCAAGCCCAGAATTCAGAAGGTAAGAAAATATTTTTTTAAAAAGTTCCATCAACATTAACCTTTTAATTCCCTGGCTCTAAAACACGGATCTATTCTTTTTCTGATACTATGTACAACAGATAACAAAGAAACTAGGTATCTGAAATAATTTTTTAAATTTTCCATGTCCCATCTCAAACTTACCTACTTTAGAAGTCTGAAAATATCTATTGCCTTGACTAGTTTCTTGGTTCTTGAATTGGCTACCATCTTAAATCAATTACAGTGATTACAAATGGCTGTTTTGACAGTTGTTAATTTCTTGTTTTAGTATTTCAGCTGTATTGATTGTCTTGGCTACTCCTTTTGTTTGTTACTACCTAAATACATGTGACACAAGGGGAGATATATCTGTTAACTAGAAAATATTTAATATTAATAACATGAGAAATACCAACTAGCACCTCCTGCAAGTGTTAAATAAACTGTCATGCTGTAAGGTATGTGGGGCTAGTAAGACTTCTTCCAATGCAGCTTCGAGTTCCTACTGAACTTCATTTAGCAGCTCATAAGGAAGACTGACTTGTGATGTCAGATGGATTATAAAGCTGCACTAACATGTAGATATTTCATATATTGCTAAACAGGTGTTCATTACGTTACCCACGATGGTGGCTGTTGCATTTAAGTCCTCTAAAGATAAAGAAATGCCAGAAGGAGAGCTGTGCAAGCCTACTCCCTCAGTCAGTATTTCAATTTAAACTTGGTTCCTCTTGTCCAGTGCATCTTGATTATACATAAAGGAAAAGTGAAACTGAAAAAAATGATGGAAACTTAGTCTTCTTTGTATGGAACTCTCAGTATTTTAAAGTGATGAGAGTAGAGTGAGTGAAGGGCAGTATCTTTCCTGTATGTATGTAAGGCTGTAACGACAGGATTGGTTCAAAAAAGGTCTTTATCACAAAGCTACAGCAAACTATTTTGTCAGTTTCCATTCCTAAACCAGAAGATGACTGGTCACAATGATGGTGTTAATTTCCTGGATTGATACCACAGATGTGATGGAGTTCCTGCTTTAGGTGCAGGCTGATCCAAGAAGCAAACCAGTATTAATAGCTCCAGAAATCTCTCTGGGTTTTTGGGGGTTTTTTTTGGAGGCGGGTGAGGGGGGAAGTGCAGGGGGCTGTGTGTGTGTCTTTGCCCAGTTTGGTTTTTCCCACTGATCTAAACCAACTCTCTCTTAGTCTTAGCACTGTGTGCAAGTAATTCTCTCTTCTTCATCAGGTAAATTTGAACCACCATTATTCCACCCAAACGTGTATCCTTCAGGCACAGTGTGTCTCTCCATCTTAGAGGAGGATAAGGACTGGAGGCCAGCAATCACAATTAAACAGGTCATTAATTGTACTTAGATGTATTCTTAGCCCTTTTATTTACTTAGCTTGTTTATCTGATGTGAATCTAAGATATTCACTGTGTGTTTCTGCAGTTGGTTTCTAAAGGTTTCTTAATTGGATGTCTGTTAGTAGTATCCATGCGTGTATTACTTCTATTCCTTCTTCCACAGATCTTGTTAGGAATACAAGAACTTCTAAATGAACCAAATATTCAAGACCCAGCTCAAGCAGAGGCTTACACAATTTACTGGTAAGTATCTTTGCTTATCAGCTTGAAAACTGTTTTCAGGAATGATCACAGGAATTTTCTCACCTTTGTGGCTCTATCCTGTGGAGATGCCTAGCTTGTGCTTAACTTGAACAAACAGTAACATCGTGGTTAATAGGCTAGTGGAGGTTCTAATAGCATCGCAGCAGCAGTAACGTGTGAAGGCTCCTTCAGTTGGACCACAGTTCTCATCCTGGTTCTAGTCCAATGTAGAATCCGTTCCCCTAAAGCCTGACTGTAGTAGTGATGAGGCATAATAATTTCATGAGACCAGTGAGAGAGGAGACTGAATTAGGTGACAAATCCCTTTCATCAGTACTTCTGTCCAGTGGTGGGTACCTGCAAGCACTTGTGCCTGAAGGATAAAGGAGAGCTGCTGTGATTGCTGTAGGAAACACGCAGCATTTTGTGAAAACTAGATCTTCCAAAAGAAAAGGTTAAATAGTACAGAAGGCTTGTCTCTTTAGCAGAATGAAGTTCGCATTGTTTAGGAAAGGTGATAATTTGTAAGCTAAAAAGTAGTCTTTTTTTTTTTTTTCTTAATCTTAAAATTTTCCCACCATTAAAAATGAATGGCTGATCTATAATCTTTAGGGGAGCAAAACACTTTAAACAAATGCTTTTGGCACTGACAGCTACTGAAATAATGACCAAGAGGGAAATACGGAATTACCATTCTGGACAGAATAATATGTCTCCAGGAGAGTGCCAACTTCAGAAAAATGGCATTTTATGAGACTTCACACAGAAGCAATGTCAAAAATGTTTCTCGCAGGATCCTAGTGAAAAGGAAACATGGGGATGGGTAGTGTGTCTTGGAATTAATTAAAAGCTTCATTTAATGTTATTTTTTAAGTATCTACGGAAGACTTGATGGGACTGAGTGCGTATGGAGGACAGTTAGGTGGCCACGGTTGTAGGCAGCACCTTTGGGAGCCAGTAATGAGGAGGCAGGCCTCACCTCTTTTTTTTAAAAAATTTTTTTTAGATTTTTTTTTTAAAAGACACTCTGAGGGAGTCTGAGGCAGGAATAGTATGCTTTTATACATTTATAAGTAGTCTGTGTGTTTTTATTTTTTTATCACCTCCCACACACATGTACGTATGGAAACAGTCTTTGCTAGTCTTGTTTCTCCTTTATTGTAAGTGCTTCTAGAAGAAAATAATCTATTGAGAATAAACTACTACCCATTTTTTGTTACTTGAAATATATATAGTCTCCCATTTATCCTCTTCATGTCTTTTGGACATGTATAGTATTTCAAATGGGTTACTATATTTCTGCAGTAAGTGTCTCTCTTACTACTTTAATGAGTAACTGGTAGAAGCACCTCAACAGAGCAGAGTTGTGTATCCATCTGTAGTTTGGCGGAGTTGATAAGTACTGGGGAAGATGCACTGTTTAAATAGCTGTCGTTCAGTCTAGTTGTTGAGCTTCAAGAATAAACTTCGTATTCAAAATATTTGTTCTCACTCTCAGGATTGCTTTGGTGCTGTCACTCTGTCACTTTTGCAGTTCTCATGCACTAACCTGCTTCCTCCTCTCTGCTGCAGGCACATGTGCACAGTCTGCAATGGCAGGCATTCTCTTGTGTGGATTCTCAGGGTGTGAGACTTAACAGCTAGGTTGTGTTCTCATGTGACGATACACTATAACTTAAAGAAAAAATTTTAGAATAAAGTTTGTAAATCTGTTTGTGAAAAGAAACTAGAGTATTTTCAGTCTGTTTACTGGTAATTGTTAATTGGATATGACCAAAACTGGCTTAATTTCTTCTTCCCCCTAAACTGTCGACTTCTGAGGATATAACTTGCTGCTTTTTTTTTTTACTGCAGCAAGCTTTAATAGCTGAAAGTAAGTTAAGTTTACTGCTAAGCTGTCTGCAAAATGTAGTCACTGTAAACTGCCTTTGGCACAAGAGTAATAGTAGCAAATTTTTGTTTAGCTCTTGACTGACACTTCTGACAGCTAACAAAATATGGTGTTGAATGTAAATGGATGCTCTACTAAGCTACTACCATTCCTTGTCGGCCCAAGAATAGGAAACAGAGAACTTCCACTTTAATGTGTTGAGTCTGAGGCTTAATGACTGGTCATAGTTCTTTGAAGTAGTACTTGCTTCTTTCATCAATCTGTAGAAAGTATGCTAGACTTAGTGAACTGCAGTGGTTTTTCAAAATGCTGAGCTAGCTTTTTTCAACTGAAGGTTAGGATAAGCCTAACACTGAGTCAGGGTCTGCAGAGAGAAAGGCTGAAAACAGCCATATGGTTATCATTTTCCTGTTTCTTGAAGAGCACTTTCTCTCTTTCCCCAAAGGAGTAAAGATGATACTTTAAAATCATATGTAGTCCACCAGCTGTTAGTGAACTCTCATCAACTACTTTGTGCTGTTAGGATACTGGAACTTATTTTTAATGACCTCAGGTCTTAACATGGAGAGTGGAAAACTGACATTCAGAAGAATAAAAATGCTTGCATGTAAGGTACAGATGACCTTGAGAAAGAGCAGGTACAAACATCTTCACGGCGATTGGTATAGTATGAAGTCAGGCAGTACAATCATTTGACGACACGAAGTTTGGGAAGTAACTAGTTAAACAGTACCTTACTTCCAAAGGAAATTATCAGAGTAACGGTCCAGAAAAGCCTTTATTCAGTGAATGCCTATCTAATGGTTTTGCCTTCAGCAATAACCTAGTTTCATATTGAAGAGAAATAGAGTAACAATAACTCTATAATACGGCCTCTTGATTTCTCAAGCTGTAATTACCCTTTCTTTCTCTTCTATTCAGCCAAAACAGAGTGGAATATGAAAAGAGGGTTCGAGCACAAGCCAAGAAGTTTGCACCATCATAAGCATCTGTCATGCAGCATCTTAAAAAGGAAGGGATTGATATGGCAAGAACTTGTTTACAAAACTTTTGCAAAATCTAATGTTGCTATGTACAATTAATATCCACTTAGGGAAGGGGGTTGTATTTGTGCCATTTTCCATATTCGCCACTTGTACACAGTTCTAAATTTGCTGAATTGCCCCCAGTTTTTTCATACAGGGTCTCTTCCTTCAGTCTTTTGTATTTTTGATTGTTATGTAAAACTTGCTTTTATTTTAATATTGATGTCAGTATTTCAACTGCTGTAAAATTATAAACTTTTATACTTCTATAAATTCACTAGTATCTCTAGTTACTTTGCTATCTGATGCAGGCATGCTTTAAAATGTTAGAACTATATTTAGCCTATAGCTGGCTGTATGAAAAAAAAATCATGCCCTCCACCCCCTTCCCTCCCTGAATTTGTTTTTCTATCTTTCAGAAACTAGGTTGTTATTGCTTAAGAACCTCTGAGATCCAAAGTCAGCCAGCGTCCTTATTTCTGCATCACTTCCTTTGTGTTTATATGGCGTTCTGTCTGTGTTGCTGTTTAGAGTAAATAAACTGTTTATATAAAGGGCTTTGTTTCATTTATCTTCATTAAAATGATTAAAAGACTGACACTTAAATGGCTCCGAACACAGTTCGGTCCAAGTCCTGCTCCTAAGGCCTGTGATGCTGCATTTACCTTTTTTAAAATGTTGCCTTCATTTCTTTTCCCTGCCCCCAGCCCCAACAGGAATGTGGTCCTTTCTTTGGGCCCTGAGTGGTAATTGCAGCAATTCAACTTTGATCAGTTCCTTAAACAGCTTATGGAATTCTGACTAGCTGGAAAACGATCGCTTAGTGTGCATGATGGGATCAACAGACTGGTGTGACCACACGAACATAAAATAACACAAGCATTAGATTCATACGAACAATGATAGAAGCTGTCCAAGGAATGCATGGGGACCTACAGCAACTGGGGATTTTAAATGGTACTTGTTTATCAGAAATACTTCTGTGCCTTCTTCCATATGTTAATGTATATAGCTTTTAGGAAAAGGACGAACTCTATGCAGTTAGTTTCCTTCTGTAAAGGAAATCAGTTATGTAAGTTATTTTCATGTATGTCAAGCTGATACGGCCTCTATTAAACTTTCACTGCTTTTTTTAATGTATTTTTTAGTCAAAATCATTCTGCAAGACAATTGAAGTGTGAAAAGCTTTGTTCCCTCTGAGCCGTAGCTTCTTCAGTACTTTTGTTATTAAAAAATGGCTACTGCTAGAGACTTAAATTATTCAAAGTGTGATAGAGTTCTGTTCTCAGATCTGTTCTGCTTGTCTGCATTTGATTGATAGCTTCATAACATAAAAGCATTCCCCCAAATTAGAATAACTAGCATCCTCATGTTATTCTCAGTCCTTTAAAAATTGTTTGTGCAGGACTGCTTCCTTGTCACTGTCTAGAAATCCTTGTTACAACAGCTAATTTGGGAAAGACTTCACATGCTTGGGGTGGAAAAGCAAGTAATTTAGAAACTGAGATAAAGGAAAAGATTCCTTGTTGAATTCATTTACTTGAGCTTCTTTTTTTCTTTTTAAAGGGAAATTGCATATTTGTACCAGTGGAACTGCTGCTATGACTCCCAATTCTGGCTCCAGTAGGGTTAGCATTTAATCTCTCTAGTAGAAGAGGTGAAAATCTTGCTGTGATTTGAAGAACTTGTATATATGAAGGTAACACTATGAATTGTCCTCAGTATCTGCAATTCTACTGAAGGGCTGCTGAAGTTTGTGTTTAAATAAGTTCCAGCTGAATGCTGGAAACTCAGAAGAGCATTCTATTTAAATGTACAGAAAACTGCTGTCAGGTGCACTTTCACTATACAAACTGGCAGACATATGGAAAAGTGAACTAAGACACGAGTGCTGATGAGAGTCTCTTAAGGGCCAGACAGTGTGCATTTCTGACTTGTCAGAATGCCACCTCACGTAATGAGAATGCCGGCAGATAGCGTTGCTGAACCTGTTCTCTGTAATTTTGTGGTACAGTTCTGAAAAGACATACTGAGATGTTAAAGCAACTCCAGGAACAGGAAGCTTTTTTTTTTTCCTTTTAAACTTAATGTAGTCAGTTTATCCTAAACTAGATGGAGTAGCTGAAATACATATGGCAGGTTCAAGCCTGCAAAAAAATCAGAGGCTCCTTGTGGTAGGCCCTCAGAACAGGGTGATAACTTAAGTCATGTTTTCCAGTTGAAATATAGACCAGAAGTTAGAAGGGCTTACTTGACATACTATTAGGTAAAAAAAAAAAAATAATTCCTATAAATCACTTTCCAGACACATTGATTAGAATACAGGGTTTTTTTAACTCTTAACTAAGCTTCAGGCTCTTTACATAATAATGAGCATTCTGTAAACAATTATGTGAAAATTAAATAACCTAAAGCCTTTAAGTGCATAAATAGGCTACATGTGTGTTATAGGTCTAAGGTTCACCTAAAGGAAAGCATTTGCTAAGCACCAAGCGAAAGCTGAAGAAGCCACACTGTTAACTGTGCACAAGAAAATTTCTTTATACAAGATGTTACAAATCTTCAAGATTGGGGTTTTTTTAATATTCTTGTGGTACATAGAGGGTTTCTGTTGGGGTTTTGGGGTTTGGTTTTTCTTTTTTTATTTTTCAAATAGTTGATTTATTGGCTGTTGTTGCAGCAACTTTAGACCACCATCATCTTCTGGACTGCTCTCATCGCTGCTTTCAGTGGCATCATCTGGAGCGCTCACACTGTCCTCTTCAGATTCCTCCTTACTGTGTGCCAGTCTGGAAACAGTTTGGGGGATTATAAAAGCAAAACAATTTATAATAAGAAAAATAGTATTTAAATGAAATTTCATTACCCTGGGGAATTGATTTGTCTGTTGGGATTAGAAAATTCTTTTCCTGAGTCAACATCAAATGGATCTGGAAAAAGAAGGAAAAAACCCACATTGAAGAAGGCGGCATATTTTAATGGTCTGCCTTCATTTTCATTTTAAGAGATTATTGGCAGGGAGGGGAAGTATAGGAAGTCAGGTTCAGCCTTCTGATAAGTTTATTGTAGTTTGGTCAGAAACGAGAGGAGGTGAGAAACAACTGCCACCTCCTGCCTCCCCCATTCTAGTCTTTTCACTCTTTTCCATGCCCTCCCTCCATCCCCCGAGGGGTTCAGTAGCTCTTTAGGGGTAGCCAGACTGTACACATAGGCTTCTAAGGCTTTTGGTAAGAACACATGCATGTTCTCGGAATGGTGTAGTTCTAAAGGGGCTATCTAGTTAGCTCATGTCTACTGACAAGTGAAGTACGGCTTCCTGGGTTCAGCTCTGGCTGAGCAACGGTCGGGCAAGATTTACTTTGGCCTACACAGCTGGGGAGAACTGTTCCTTTAGAAAAGTCAAACAAGGCATGACAGCTTTGTACTGTAGTCCCAGCAGAAAGTACATAGGATTGTGGGTGGAAGCGCGCTTTGTTTGGCACAGTCGTGCTGCCCCTTAAGAACTGTCTTCAGTGTCACATAATGGTAGTTGGGCTTCCACCAGGCGACAGGATGACTTCATTCAGCCCAGCCTGTTACGGCAAAGAGAGCGAAATTCAGAGAAACTAAAGGCTGTCCACCCTCTCCTTACAGTGTGATCCCCTAGCCTGTGTTTATGGGATTTAACCACTGTGAAAGGAAAACATGAATTAGGAGCATCTCTGTTCATATGTTCTTGATCACTTGATTTGGCTTTTTTTGTGCTGTCTATAATGAGACCAAGCACTCACCTGGGTATACAGCCTGAAATACTGGGATACCAGTGAGTGACTGAAGAATTTGGGAATAAACTACTGTACTTTATGATAAGCTGTTTCCATTATCTTTATAGGTATGATTTTAAACATCTTGATTAGGGACTATATAAACATGTCCATTAAAAATCTTTCTTACATTTATGTATAACTAACTTGCTGTCAGACTGTATGCCCATATTTCTCTTATGGTCCTCCTGAATTACTAGTCTTTTAACATCCGTAGATAAAATGAGGAAGCATTGTATTTTCTTTTTACCTCTTAGTTCTCAAGTATCCTTAATTTAATCAGGGTCGCTGCTCCACAGTTCAGCTGTGAATACACTACTATATGCATTAAATTGCTTAAGTTGTTTTCATCTTTTTGAGTTGAAAAAAATAGGCAAACTTGCTTAAAAGAATACACAGTAAAAAGACAGAACAACACATCTCAACAAAGCTCTTCTCTTCTAACTTGACAATATTTTCATGAGATTAAAGGAAAAGATTGTAAGGAAACTAGTTAGGAAAAGGGTGCGTGTATGATGTGTCTCTGGTTTTTTTCTTACCTATTTCTTCATCTTTTGTTTCTTGGGTGCTGGCTAAAAAGTCCTTTTCAACTCTCAGCACTTCTTCCTGGCAATGACAGGCTGCATATTTTTCCAAGAGATTTTTGTTCAAGTCAATAAATGTCTCACCCCATTTAAATTTCCTTAGAAGAATGGTGGCTAGGTCTGGGAATCCTAAAAGAGAAAATAGGTGATCAGTTTTCTTTTTCAGTATGAGGCTTAGTTTGCAGGTGTCTAAGTTCAGTACAGACCTGTGTATCACTACAATAGTAAGATGTCTCCCAGCATTTTTTCAGTGCTTGTGCTTGTAAAAAGAGATTTAAAATCTTTTCAAATTGAAATATCTAACTGAATCCAAGAAAAGTTTATAGTCTTTTAGTGAGTGTTACATAAAAATACTTTGTACAGGTAATGAATGGTTCAAGCTCTAGTTCCTGCAGTCCTTCAGTGAAAGAGCAGCTGTACATAAAATATTTTCAGAAGGTAAGATTTGTCTGCAGTATAGTAGAGCACATCTCTTCAGCTGTCAAGAAAGTTCTGTGATGACTTTGCAAAACATCACAAGAGGGAGTAATTAATTTTGTTCTTAACCAGAACCTACCCTATTAACAGACAGCCGTTACCTCATTAAGACAACAGTGCCTAAGGATTCATGCTCTGTCTTCCCTGGCTTTTTTCAACAGTTCTTCTAACATTAAGTGCTATCCTGGCAAAACCAGGATCATCAGTTTGTGTCCTGTTCAGTTGCTGACATGAATACCCCACAGGTACCTTGATGCTACCCGATACAAGTACTTGAAGAAAGCTGATCCCAAACTCGACAAAGCAATGACCAGTGGGCCAGTGTTACAGTTTATCACAGATAATCTCTTCTGATTTATTAAGAATGTAAGAATTGCTGGTAACGTATTTCACATCAGACACATTACAGCCTACCAACAATGCAGAAAGCTGCAGCAAAAGCTTCCACGCAGGACAGCTTGCATGGCCGACCGTAGTTCACAGGATCCACAGCCACCAAGTCCGGCAGCAGCCGTAGATGACTTCCTCTCATTCTCTTAAAGGGAGTTTCTTCTAATTTGGCCCATGAGCAATCTATGACTGCAATTCCACTCTGAGCAACGACATGCCTGAAAAAACAAACATCACTGTATGTGAAAAGTTGTCATTGTATTGATAAGTTAAATTGAGAATTGCAATTGCCACTTCACATTGGCAACAGATTTGCATACAGCCCTCCCCTTTTGTCAGTCAAAAACCATACATTTTGCAATGGTCTAAAATACAGATGCCATGAGAAGGAGTAACAGGATGCTTTTCCCCTGAATGTGCATGCGGCAAAAAAAGGTTTATCCGTGTCTTTCGGACTGAAAGTGAAAAATTCTAGGTTTAAAAATGTGACAGAAGAGCGTGGTTAATAGTAATGTTCACATTAGAAGTATATGAAAGTTCAGATTTAGGTTCTCCACTAGCTTCTAAATACTAAATCTTTATGAAAATTTTGCAGGCACATTGGAAGAAAATTCTCAATGGTTTCCCCAAATAAACTTTCTAGTTAATGCATGGTGTTGCCTAAGCCAAAGAACTTGGGTAGGGAATGATAAAAGATACCGTAGCTATAGGCCTGTGATTCTGAACAAATTAACCTACAAACCACGTCCTTCGTTTTCTCATTGGGATCGACAGACGCTTTTTTTCCCTCGATACCAGCTCTGTGAGAGCGTCAGCCCCAGTCCGGTCCCGTGCACAGGCATGCATGGGATGCAGGAGGCAGGTGGAATTTGTTCTGTCGGACAGTTCTGGCCGCGGGGCGGTGGTTAAATGTTCTCCCCGATGCACCATCCCGGCAGCACCCCAACCTCCGCGGGTTCGCAGGCGGGCGGGGGCCGCCGGGGTCTCGCCGGAGTTACCTGTCGGCCGCAGAGACGTACTGGGCGGCCAGGGGGCTGAGGACGAG